GGCAGTAAATGAGAACTTTTATTCTAGAGAACAGATATATGTCAAACCCACAAAATGTTTTCATGTAAGTTGTTCATGATGGAGTCATATGCATTTTTCTAATACCTAATTTAAAAAATATACAGTTCTAATAAAATTACCTTAAATTAAATGACCAAAAGTTACTGCACATTATAAGGATTATAGACTTCAGGTTCAGTTAAGGTCAAAATACTTAAATTGATCACTATGCTTGGAATTTTTCAAATAGATCCTTATCAAGTTAAAAAATGTTACTCAATCTTCTTGTTCTTATTAGCCCCTTAGAGCTTTCATAATTTAATTTTGAAGTCAACTCTGTTCCAGCAACTGACAGGCAGCTGAAAATATTTCTCCAAGATCTTGGTGGCTACTAAAATTTCCTGTACTTCCTTTGTCTCTTGCATCCAAATCACATAATCTGCATGTGGACAGAAGCAAGGAGGGCATACCCAACCATCTAAAAATGGGTAGTTGGGGTGAGGAAGAGGCAGTACAATATTTGTCTAAACTGATTTAATCAGATTTTACATTTTCCAGGATGCAAATGGAAGCATTATCCCAACAGAGAGGTTTCTGTATGTGAATACATAACCAAACACATTCTTTTTCTTGGAAGGATATATACTATAAGACCATACAGAAGTGTGGTTCCATTCCTTCTCCAAGTATATACCTGTTTCTCCGATTGATGTTTCCTACTCCTGATTCTTTAGTAAAAATGCTTCACGGTGCAGCACAATTACATATGTACTTCAGAAGTTTGTGAGCAGAAGGAAACAATGCACATATTGCACATACTCACTTCATTCAGCTGTCTCCTTTTCCCCACAACTGAGAAGTCCCTATAAGAACAAATCTGGTCATGTCATGCTTCCTGATTATCAATATAATTTAAAACTTTGGTGTATATAATAAATTCCATGTATTATATGCAAATATTATACATTCATATGCAAATAATTATTCTCTTATTTCACTGTAAAATATTTATTCTACAAAGCATTACTATTTGACTTTTCAGAAAATAATATACTGTATCTGTTTATCAGTTTTCATAAACTTGAATGTCTATTAATTTTGAACACATTGTTGTGATTCATGCAATTTCAGACTTTACAGAACATCATATAGTTTGCAGACCTTTGTTAATAAACACTTTTGGTAACCTATCAGTACCAGCAAGCCTTTTTGTTAAAGAAGACACTATATACAGGGGTGTCAAACTCAAGGCACGGGCCGGAGTGCTTAGATGGGGTGCTTAGATCTGGCCCATGGGGCCACCCTGGAAATAGCAAAGAATTGGCCCGCAGTACTTCTGCTAGTGAAAATGGGCTTCCAAGTTCTGTTTTCACTGGCAGAGGGTTGCAGGAGGCTGTCCCAGCTGAAAATGGAGCTCGGGAGCCCATTTTTGCTGGCAGAGTGCTCAGGCCGCCATAGGCGCCCGACACAAGCGATGTTGACCTGGCCATGCCCATTCTGGCCACACCCACCTCGGCCCTCTGAGGTTGAACACAACCCTGATGCGTCCCTCAATGAAATCGGTTTGACACCTTGGCTATCGTACATTACTATACCACATTATATGTACAAATGGTATCTGTGCATTGGGTACATCAAGCACAATACATGTAAGATTATTTATCCACCTTTACACTATCATATTGTACATTTCCCCATCCTTGGTATATATTACAGACTGCTTTTGGAAGATGCACATCATGAATTTACAACACAGAATAGCAGAGATGAAATATAGCCTATCATACAGTACATAATAACTTATTTGCCTGCAATGTAAATTATTCTTCGGGGTGATGGGGGGGGGCTTCAAATCACTGTTAATTCCTGGAAACTGCCCGGATAAGTTCCAGCCATTTTTTGGCAAGATTTCAGAAGCGTTTGACATTGCTTGCTTTCTAGAGCTGAGAGACAGTGACTGGCTCATGGTTACCCACCTTAAGGTGGGTCAGGAATTCATGGTCTTCTGTTTTCTTGTCTGGTACCTTAACCACTATACCAAACTGGCTCCCATCCTTCCTATTACTAAGGCTCATGTTCTTGTGCTTTCTGATATCTAACAACAGGGAAGGAAAAGTTTGCATTTTTTAGTTTCAGATTATAACATCCACACTCCACAAGCTGTGATTAAATAAATACAATAATTGATTTCATATCTACAGTTTCACTATAGTTATAAGTATCATGGTGGCGCTGTGGTTAGAATACAGTATTGCAGGCAAATTCTGCCCACAGCCTAGAGTTCAATCCTGAGAGCTCAAGGTTAACTCAGTTTTCCATCCTTCCAAAGTTGGTAAAATGACCCAGATTATTGGGGACAATATGCTGACATTTGGAAACCGCTTAGAGAGTGCTGTAAAGCATGATAGAGTGGTATATAAATCTAAGTAGTACTGCTATTGCTACAATTAAAGCATAATTCAGTCAAAATATTCATATGTAACCACAGCTGGAATGTTTTGGGGAGGGTTTTTTCGGCAAATCTTTATAACACAAGATTATATACTCTATCTCCAAGAAAGAATATTGATACCATCCTAAGGAAGAATATTGATATTGCCTATATAATAATGGAAATAGGATGACTATTTTTAAAACATGCTGATAGTAGAAAACTATGCATAACAATAGCAACAACAATTAAGCATTCATCACAATCTCTCTCATGTATTTGAGGAAAAGAGAAGTAGGATTCTTCTCGTGTGTCCTTTATTGTCTGTAAATGATATCTAATATGTTTAAGAATGTGATTCTTCATAAAAGCTTTGACCTTACATATGAGTCATCTTGAAAGGTAAATGTCAAATGTTAGTTAAACTTGATATACTGGTAATACATGACAATGGTACCAGTATAGTTTAGATCCTGTCTTGACAACTAGCCAACCTTTCCATCATTCTTTTTTGCCTTAACACACAGTATTTCTCCATTTAAAAATATTGAGAGCCAAATTCAACAAACTGGGACCCCTGAAATCCAATCTATCCCTACTCCTGCTATATAGCCTTGTTTCCTTTAGATTAGGTAAACAATTATCACAAATGGCATATCCCACCATGGCCTCCTTCCTATGAAGCCTTTCATCTGTCATCCATTCTAAGCCAAGAGGGAGAGTTTTTCTTATCATTTCCTGTAGTGATTTTTCTTTTCAGAAAAAAAAATGAGAGCAGAAAACATTATTTTCCTCGAGATATTTATAGTGTTCATCTGATAAATTCATTTATTAGAATAAATGAAACTTTATTTACAGTGCTCTGATTCATTGTTCATTATTCTGACCATAATAGTTGGGCAAAGGCTTATGTACTGAAAGAAAAAAACTTGAAAACAACTGAACTGAGAAATGAATAGAACATGTATAACTAGGAAGAGTCCAGGAAAGTAATAATCCAAAATCAGGATTCAACAGCAGACATTAAGCTCAAGGTAAGTAAGAATAATTTATATCAATAGTTCTGGAAACCATGTCTGTTACCTTCTCAAAAACCGGCCTTCCCACTACAGATCCTATGACCTTTAGGGAAATGCAACTGTTTGTTCCATAAGAAATAAATTTTAAATTTAGAAATCACAGATTTCGAGAAAGGAAAATGTAATATTTTTGCTCTTCTAGTTCTCCCATACTTTTAAATTTTTGTATTTGGAAAACACTGGTCTCAATGTAAACAACAAAAAACAATTGTAATCAATAATATTAAATATGGTAATTTAGCAAAAAGGTCTAAAAATAATAATTTCTAGAAAAACTACAGTGGCATTTTCCTAAAAAAATCACAAAGGTATTTCATTTGTTCTAGAATGATCTCTGAATCATTTACATATATAGGTTACATATTCATATAATTACAATTCCTCTGTACAAAAGAATCCTTAAGTATTTATACAAACATATATATGGCCTGAATATCTGGGCTGAAAAAAATCAAGATGACCCTGGAAAGAATGAGGGGTATAAAAAAATCTTCTATTTGCTTCCATCTAATGTTGGTCTCAGTTTTGAAGCCCAGATATTATAACGTAAACATTTTATTTGTATATTATTTGAAAATTAATAAAAAAAACACCTGTACATTAGAATAGAATAACAGAGTTGGAAGGGACCTTGGAGGTCTTCTAGTCCAACCCTGTTTCGGCAGGAAACCCTACATCACTTCAAATGATTATACAATCTCTTCTTAAAGACTTCCAGCGTTGGAGCATTCATAACTTCCGGAGGCAAGTTATTCCACTGATTAATTGTTCTGTCAGGAAATTTCTCCTTAGTTCTGAGTTGCTTTATTAAAGGTTGCTTTAATAACTATTACATTCTGACTGGAATCATATACAGGAAGTCCTCACTTACCAACTGCAATTGGAACCAGCAATTCCATTGCTAAATAACACAGTTATAAAGTAAAACATCATGTGACCACACTAAGTTTACAAAATTAGTTTTGGCTGGGATTAAGCAAATCCCCTGCGGTTGTTAAGCACATCATATGACCACAACTTGTGATTTCCTGCTATCTTCCCCACTTACTTTGCTTATTGGAAACTGGTACACACACACACACACAATCTGAAATAATGTGCATTAAACTCAATAGAGGTTACTTCTGATTTAAACATTTCTGGAAGTGTTTTCTAACGTCTGTCTTACAAGATCACCTAATATAGACTACAAAATTATGTACTTTCTTTATAAAGATAAATTATTTTTGCCAATTATTGCTCAGTTGCTTGTTAGATTCTATTAATGTATATAACCTTTAGAGTGAACACAGCTTTGAAACACACCAGTAGATAAATATTTTAGATAAAAGAAACTGTTATAAATGCTTGTTAAACAATATGTAATGTATTAGAATAGAGTACTACCTTTCTAATTGCAAAAACAGTCCCTGAAGATATGATTTGTATCTATGATAGCAATCTATGAATACATGGTGAATGATCCAAGGTAAATGCAATCTTAAGCTTACCTTTTGCATATTTGGCTTGATACAGCGAACAAAGAAAGGGTTAGATGTGCTTAATGTTGCCATTAAGGAATGCAGCGAATCCTAAAAAAAGGGAGAGAGAGAGAAAGAAAGAAGCAAAGGAAGTGTTAAATTTCCAAACTATCTCAGCAAAGTTTTCCTAATAATCACAACAGCATCACCTGGTGGCACAGTGTGCAAACTGAACTATAATTTTCTTATACTTTTATTTAAAATAAGCTCTACGACAAAGTAAAATTAATCATCAGATAGATAAAAGCGATTTTGCTACACTATGCGTAATGAGCTTATCCTTATCTAGTGAGCGGTGTCAATGGCCTTAAAACTCAGAACTGAATATGTTAAATATTTAAATCAATTCTCATTTATCAAATTTACAGTGGAAAACAATTTTAAATTGCTCCTGAGTCTCAAGGACAGAGATTTTTTTATGCACAGTACATTTGCCCATAGAAGTTGCTAAGAGTAAAATGTCAGGTTTTGCTTTATCAAGAGATAAAACTAAAAAAGTCTGCTTTGCCTATATGGCAGGCTTACACTTAGAAGGAAGGCTATTGATGATTATGTATGGCATCAAACCAAGTAGGAAAACAAACAGTGAACAACTGGTTTCAGCCAAGAAATAAATATTTTATTTTAAATGATCAGGAAAACATTCTGGAAAAAAATCCATATTCATAGCTGGAGACAACAGACATTTTTTTTCTTAGCTGAACATGATTTGATAGGAGATTTAGGCAACAATGTTTTACAAAACACAATGTCTGGAAAAATGCATGAAACGAAAAAAACAACCACCTTAAATTGTAAGCTGACTGTGGGCTTCCGATGCTTGCTCCCACACTTCAAAGTATCTTGACCGCTGCGGCTTGAAACATGCTCAAATAGGTCATATATGAAATCGAGGCTGAAACAGGAATTTAAATAATGTTTAAATACATAATGAAAACAAAGACCCTTTTATACAAGGACTGTTCTTTCCTTTAAAAAATATGGCTGCTTTTTTATTGATGCTTCCCCACTGCTTGCCTGCTTGAAACGGCGGACAATCTAAAATTAGACACCAAGTAGATTTAGGTACTATCATTATCATTTCCTCTGAATGTAAGAGCTGAATCAAGATAAATATGCAATGACTAGAAAGACTGCTGGCACATTACAGAGAACACAGCATTTAGACGAGACCATTGCCCTGTCATGTGATATTACATTAAATACTATCTCTCACATTTTGTGTATCCCAAGGGTATTCTTCTCATACCTATAAAGATTTAACTTTACAGCATTTTGATGAATAGGCACATAGTGTTGAAATCATATTCCATAATACTTTTGTTAGCTTTTAAGAAGCTACAAGTCTCTGCTGTTAATAAACTAACTAGACCTCTTTGATCCTGTTGATGGGATGACCAAATATTTTTATTTATCAAATTTATTTGCCGCCCATCTCACAATTCAGGTGATTCTGGTATTGCAGAAATACAGCAGAATCTGAAGTTCTCCAGGCATTCCTGAACTGTCACTAACGTCCAGGCCAATAGTGACAACTTCTATAAGTTGGTTAGTCAGCAAAATCTGGAGAAAAGGGGCTACTTATCTCTGAAGTACAATAATCTCTTGAGTATGGTACTGAGCTTCTGAGGGAAAAGGCACAAACAAAACTAATTGTATTTTTGCTTAATTTAGAAAAAAGTTGTGTTATCATTCCATATTAGAACTACTGCTCGAGGTACTTTACATTATTTGTGTAAAGAATGTTGTGTAATATTCTATTAAAGAGCAAAATGTGGGATAAAAACAAATTATAAAAGATTCATCTAGATTCTGGGTGTTTATAATAAATATTTGATTTATTCTAATAACCATGAATTTATTAATATCAAACTCTAATACAAAATAACTTCCTAGTCTATATTATAGATATTAGGATCCTTTGCAAGAAATTATTTTAACACCTTTGTGTTATTTCACAAATTATGCTATAGTTATGTGTTTATCTTGTTTGGCATTTGTCTGTCTTGGAAAACCCACCGTACTCAGAGGAATTAAGAAGCTTAAACAATAAATATAAAAAGCATATCAGAGACTCCTTTTGCTCTCCAGTTTAGGGTTGCATCTTTAAGAATTAATTTAACATAACTTATATGTAAGCTTTTATCTTTATTGCATTTTTCTCTAATTTATATATTTGCACGCATTTAGACATCTAATCCATTTACCTATGTTTGCCAAATATTTCTTTAGTGGTTGTACTTCTCATAAACTGAACAATTTTTTACATATTACCCCAAAATTCTCACTGTCCAAAATTTTGTTCTGAAAGTGCTCATGAATTATTGCTAGAACGACATTCAAACTCTACCTTAATGTCAAAAGCATATATGCCCAATGAAATGTATTAGAAATATTGTTTTAGCTGGATTCATCAAATGTGCTCACTCCCTAAATCAAAAAACATTTGGTTGTTTCTTCTGAATATCACTAAGTCAAAATTATAGTATCTCTCATGTTTAGAATACTCTTTTAAAACGCCATGCTATTACAGAGAACTGGGAGAAAGGTAAAAATTGTTAAAAAAGAATCTGAATATCATTTTAGCAAAAAACCCACTGCCTTGACCTGCAACATATTGGCAAACTATCCATAAAATTAACTCCATCCCATCATTTAGAGAAAACAATCTATTTGACTAATCAGAGTATATTCAGAAACCTAAGTTTCATATGATGGTAAATCTACAACATTTGTTCTTCTCTTTAGAAATACAATATTTTCAAATGTACAAAGTATATTCTAGGAGATAAAAAGATAGACAGATAAATAGTTTAGAACTGAATTCTATATTTTCTCCATACTCCCTTCCTTCTAAAATTAGTTTTCAACATCTTGACAAGGTCAGGATCTGCAATTATACTATGGGCATACCTGCTTTCTCGCAATAAGTTCAGAAGATCATCCCTAAAAGTGTCTCTGTTTTTCTCCAAAATTCCTCTTACATCATACTGAACCTGTTTGAAAGAGTGAAAAAAAAATATTTTTTTAGTTATCATAAAGAACAGAAAAATACCAATTTATTAGTTTTTTTATACCATTATTACTTCATAAAAAACTGAAGTTGGCAAACATACCTAATACTTCTACTGTTCCTATTTTCCTCACAACAACAACTGTGATGCTGGTTGGGCTGAGAATGAGTGAGTGGTCCAAAGTCACTCAACCAGCTTTCTTGCCTAAGGCAGGACTCAAACTTGGTCTCTTACTTTCTAGCCAGCACCTTAACTACTACACCAAACTGGGTCTCACATAAAGCTTCTTTTAATTTGTAAATTGTTGCAAGACAAAACTAAGCTGCTCCTGAAACACTGTTTGGAAGAATTTCAATAAACATAGGAAAGAAAGATTACCTCCCCAGCATAGTGTTTCACTCCAAAGTTGTGGACAGCAACTCTTGGTTTCACATAAAAAGGATTGTTCTATTAATAAGAATAACAAAAATAAGTCAAATATGTTTAATTATAAACAAATGAAATATAGAAAAAGGGAAAATCTTCTGTCAAACTATGTTTCTCAGAACTTGCTTGAAAGATGATTTTTTTCAAAAAAAAACCTGCCACGTTTTAATTATTGGACTTTTTAAACATTGTTCCAAAACATAATTTCTATACAGGCACTGTGTAAAACTAAATCTTTCAGGAAAAATGTAAATCAAAGATGCATTGACAAAACATATCCTGATCTATTAATTTCAAGTATTAATAGATAAATGTTTTAACTTAATAAATAGATTTGCTCAGTGAAAACCCAGAATTTTAACGATCAAAATTTACATTAGCACTGCATTTGAAATTCAGGGAATTTATAAACAAATTAAAAGAACATTACTTACTGCATGCTGAATGTGTAACTTTGCCAACAGGGTTTTATCAGTAGCTTGAGGAAAGTGGCTCTCCTCATTGATCAGAGCCAACAAACCAAGTTTCTAAGCAATCAAGACACAATAAAAAAATATGTTAAGTAGGCCCCATATTGTTCATGTCCCTCTCTCTCTTCCCTTTGTGTGTGTGTGTTGTATAAGTGGGATATGCGTGTGTGCATGTCTATACACACACACATATACATATATATATATATATATACATACACATACACACACACACATACATACACACACACACACACACACACACACACACACTGCTCAAAAAAATAAAGGGAACACTTAAACAACTCAATGTAACTCCAAGTCAATCACACTTCTGTGAAATCGAACTGTCCACTTAGGTAGCAACACTGATTGACAATCAATTTCACATGTTATTGTGCAAATGGAATAGACAACAGTGGAAAGCATAGGCAGTTAGCAAGACATCCCCAATAAAGGAGTGGTTCTGCAGGTGGTGACCACAGACCACTTCTCAGTTCCTATGCTTTCTGGCTGATGGTTTGGTCACTTTTGAATGCTGGCAGTGCTTTCACTCTAGTGGTAGCATGAGACAGAGTCTACAACCCACACAAGTGGCTCAGGTAGTGCAGCTCATCCAGGCTGGTACATCAATGCGAGCTGTGGCAAGAAGGTTTGCTGTGTCTGTCAGCGTAGTGTCCAGAGCATGGAAGCACTACCAGGAGACAGGCCAGAACATCAGGAGACATGGAGGAGGCCATAGGAGGGCAACAACCCAGCATCATGACTGCTAACTCCGCCTTTGTGCAAGGAGGGACAGGAGGAGCACTGCCAGAGCCCTGCAAAATGACCTCCAGCGGGCCACAAATGTGCATGTGGCTGATCAAACAGTCAGAAACAGACTCCATGAGGGTGGTATGAGGGCCCGACGTCCACAGGTGGGGGTTGTGCTTACAGCTCAACACCATGCAGGACGTTTGGCATTTTCCAGAGAACACCAAGATTGGCAAATTCGCCACTGGCGCCCTGTACTCTTCACAGATGAAAGCAGGTTCACACTGAGCACATGTGACAGACATGACAGGGTCTGGAGACGCCGTAGAGAACGTTCTGCTGCCTGCAACATCCTCCAGCATGACCGGTTTGGCAGTAGGTCAGTGATGGTGTGGGGTGGCATTTCTTTAGGGGGCCGCACAGCCCTCCATGTGCTCGCCAGAGGTAGCCTGACTGCCATTAGGTACTGAGATGAGATCCTCAGACCCCTTGTGAAACCATATGCTGGTGCGGTTGGCCCTGGGTTCCTCCTAATGCAAGACAATGCTAGACCTCATGTGGCTGGAGTGTGTCAGCAGTTCCTGCAAGACGAAGGCATTGATGCTATGGACTGGCCCGCCCGTTCCCCAGACCTGAATCCAATTGAGCACATCTGGGACATCATGTCTCGCTCCATCCACCAACGGCACGATGTACCACAGACTGTCCAGGAGTTGGGGGATGCTTTAGTCCAGGTGTGGGAGGAGATCCCTCAGAAGACCATCTGCCACCTCATCAGGAGCATGCCCAGGCATTGTAGGGAGGTCATACAGGCATGTGGAGGCCACACACACTACTGAGCCTCATTTTGACTTGTTTTAAGGACATTACATCAAAGTTGGATCAGCCTGTAGTGTTTTTTTTTCACTTTAATTTTGAGTGTAACTCCAAATCCAGACCTCCATGGGTTGCTAAATTTGATTTCCATTGATAATTTTTGTGTGATTTTGTTGTCAGCACATTCAACTATGTAATGAACAAAGTATTTAATAAGAATATTTCATTCATTCAGATCTAGGATGTCTTATTTTTGTGTTCCCTTTATTTTTTTGAGCAGTGTATATGTATGTGTGTGTGTGTGTGTATGTGTGTATGTATGTATGTATATATGTATGTGTGTGTGTGTGTGTGTGTGTGTGTGTGTGTGTATATATATATATATTTATATATATATGACATATGTATATATGACACATATATATATGACATATATGTATATGACATATAGTATTATAATTCAAGTATGTAGAAAAGGGTCAGGGTTTGGATATCATCTAGTCTGTATTCATGTATATGTGTACAAACACACACACATACACACACACGCATACACACACATACCATTCCATGAAACAGAACAGTAACAGGAAACATGCAGCATTGTGACATAAGTGGCACACTATGTATTTTTCAATGTGGGGCAAAAGAAGGGAAACATGGGATTGTTTTTTGTCCCTCAAAGTTCCATATGTATGTGATACGCCATAGGAATTTTAAGACAACTGTTAAATTATGCAGTTGTGTTTGTATCCTCTGGCAGAACAGACTTACTGTTGAACAATTAGAGGAAAATGTACCAGGAAAGACCCTGGTATTTCAGATAATAAGCAAAATTAGATATCATAAGTAAAATTAGATATTATAATAAAAATGTACTTGATTCTCTTGATTAAAAGACAAGGGAGTAAATAAATATTTTTGTATCGAAAAGAGCTGGGGGGGGAACACAACTGTGACCCAGGAACAAACATGAACCCTATGTATTGATAAACAAGAATTAAAAACATATGATGAGGTGAAATTTGTTGTTCAGTTGTGAAAAAATAATATACTTTTCAAACATTCTGACTGATCATATGACATATGCAATAATTTGAGGTAAACAATTATTATTAGTAAATCAATATTTACAAAATCCCCCTTAAATTTTAGACTACATATATATCTACCTTTTCAATAAGATCCAAGCATTCCCCATTATCTGTCCAGTCAATGTCTTCCCACTGGAGGCCTTCTCTAAGAAAACCCAAGAAAGAGATTTTACTACAAACTGTTTTAGTTGTCCAAAAGAAAGTTGGATGAAAACATGCATCCTTACAATATTGGTACAATGAATTTTATGGGGAATCCAAAATCTCTAAAAGAACTATGTTGAAAATGAAATTGACACAAATATTCAAGTTATGGCAGAGAAAATAAATAACATTTAACAATTCTTACCTACTATATTCTAATTGCTCTAATGAAAAAATGTGCTTGTTGAAATATTCCTGAAGTTTTTCATTTGCATAGTTAATACTGAATTGTTCAAAACGATTAACCTGGAAAAAGACAAATCATAATGCAACATTGAGTAACTGACATTCCTGATGAAGTAATGGAAGAGGAAAAGGAACAATGTTTAACATAACAGCATTAGTTATGTGTAAATATTTGGAACATACCTCAAAATTTTCAAATCCAAAAATGTCTAAAATGCCAATTGACTTGAAGTCATCCTTGCCTTTGATTCTGCTGTTGATTTTTTTAATAACCCAGGCAAAGCACTGGGAGTAAAGTGCCATAGCTGCTGAATCTCGGCTATCTATAGCCTGGTGGTTGATAATAAAAAGTAGATTATTTTATGACCTGATGGCATTCCTCAAAACAATGTTTCTAACAGACATGACAAGCAATGTAATAAATATACATAACACACATATATCCCTATACCTTACTCCCTTCACAACTAAGTTTTCCCTCTCATTTTGTTGCTGCTATATCAGAGAATCAGTGCTGATTCTTGGTGACTTGCCTGGGGAAGTCCCTGCAGTTTTCTTGGCAAGATTTTGGAAGTGATTTGCTATTGATTTCTCCCTAGGGGTGAGAGGGAGAGACTGGCCAAAGGTCACCCCAAACAGTTTTGTGCTTAAGACAGAATTAGAATTCATGCTCTCCTGGTTTCTAAACTGATGAACTGCTGGTTCTCTTTTTCCCTCCTCTAACTTCTGCCAAATAGATACACATTTTCCCTTTCTTCCTATCCCTGACTTATGATTATAATTTGGATTGGAATCTCAGTCATTGAGGGAAGTGGTCATTAAACGAGATGTCCACATGACTGCTTCAATCAACAATTGCAATCCTGGCATTTCTGGTTGCAGTTGTTAAGCAGAGTGATAAAAGAGCTGCCTGCCAGGAGGATTTCCAGCTTTGCAATGCAGGTAGTTCTTGCTCTCAAATGTTCCTGCAACCCACCAAAGAAGCTCAGTTCCTCTCTATGCACTCAGGGGAAATCCTTTGAGGTACTGCAGGAATAGAGGTGAAATCCTGAAGAGTTCATCTCCATTCCTGCTGTCCTTTCCAAAGAATTTCAGTTCCACTCCATATGTAACATTCTCTGCCAGCTTCCCTGCTGAGTTTCTATGGAAGCTAACAGAAAAAATTGCAAACAAGGATCACATGGTCACAGGGTTCTTCGTAACCAGTCATAAATGCAAGCCAATTGCCAAATGCCTGAAATGCAGTCATGTGACCACTGCGTGTGAGATATTTACAACTGGCAGAAGCGCTTTACAGGCTGTAAACCATCCTTTCTGAGGCCATTGTAATTTTAAACAAGCAGGTGTAATCTTCCTTCCTGAACAGAGCTGATATTTCTACATGAAGCTAAGTGCAATTCATCAGGAGTGGAATGACCTGCCCTAGACTTTAATGTAATGTTGTCTCTCTGTAAGAGTACCGATGGCAGATTTTTCATTTTAAACATAGTATCTTGGGCATGCATACTCTTTAGACGTCTGGAAACTACACCACAGTAGAAATAAAAAATGAGATTATTTTTCAGAGATCCTAAATACTATACGCAAAAACTTTCTAAAGTGATTGGATTGTACCTGCTGTATATTAAGAGGTGTTAGAATTTCTTCTCCCCTGAGTATCATTGATCTCTGTGTCAATGCTTCAGTTAACTGTGTTGAGTCCAGCCCAAGTAACTCTGCAGATCTATTCAGAGCTAAGAACAATAGAGCAACAAACTGTAGTAACAGAAAGAAATACTAAAAATGCAATAGTATTATTTGGGAAGATTAAAAAAACCCTAATAAGCAATTTGCCATTCATAAGTATTGTTTTCCCTCAACAGAATCTTTTTCTTACGTAATGCCATTCTCCAAATTATCTAAATTACATTTCAGAGTAAATCCATGCCAATGAAAAACAGATCTAGAGGACTGAAGAGATAGGAAGTTAACTGAAACTAATTTTGTAATTTGTCCTAATTTAAATTACTCAAAATTTGAACTAGAAAGACAGGACAGACATATTCATAATTATATTTAGTAAATAGCCATTTTTTCACCTGTTTTGAAGGACACCTGTGCTCCACCAGCTGTAATAAATTCAATATTGCCAAGATGCAAAATGCCAGCAAGGAGCCTAAGAACATCTCGTACCTCCTCAGTGGTGAACTGCATCACTTCCATTGCCGTCTAGAAAAGACACACAATATGATTGAGTTTTTGAGCTCATTCGTATCACATAATACCATCCAAGTACTATCTCCCATATATGAAGTCTCTTCAGAAGGACGGGTTTCTCCCAAATGAGCACGATTTTGACCACATGAAGCCTTTCCTTATTTCTTGCTACTTCAATGTTGGGTTGCAAGGAGAAGAGATTCAGATCAGAAGAAAAACCCACCATCATTCGGCACCATCTGCAGGCAATTAAAGTAAGAGTACCAAGAACTCTGCAATTAAACCCTGAGCTACACATATTCTCTTCTATTGGAACTACCTATGGTTTTCCTTGATGGAACCTTGATGGGAAAGGATGAAAAAAACTGGTCAAACTCACAATGACTTCTTTGAATGCTTCTGCATCATTGATTGTCTTGTCTGCTACACATCCAGACTGGTTCAGGTAGTGATAGTTCTCAGGTGCAGATAGGTAAAATGCATCTGAATGGAGGAAAAACATTTCTATCATGCTAAATCTAATACTCAAATTTACTTAAAATCTACAGGAGAAGTAACAATCAGAATTTGTATAGATTTCTTGGAATAAAGAGCTCAGACTTGTTCTACAGATTGATGATTTTCTGGAGACTAGTATCAAAGTACTGATAGTATTTTCTACAGATGTCCTTCCACTCACCCCCAACTTCTCAGCAAGACTTCGTCAGTGAAACAGTTCAGAAGTAGGGATTGTAACTGCAATCTACGTAAGATTTAAACTCAGGTGGGTTAGTGATTGGAGTCTTCCTGGCAGGTGCTAGTTAAATGGATGCTAGAAATGGTGTTGTCTCTAATTGTGATTGGTTTGCCTTGCCTGCTTGCTGAGCTGGATATGATCCACTACCCAGAGAGACAACTGCTATACACAACAACTCCTACAGAGACACCCACCCCTAATATTGCTGGAATTGCTGCATTGAAGAGGACATGCTGGGTCAGGGGTGAAATATCTGTACAAATCCTAATCAATATCTTGGCATTAATCTCCTAAAGCCTGGAGAACCTGATTATGATGTGTGTATGTACTTCAAAATTGGTTTCAATTATTTTTAATGTTGCTTTATAACAGCACCTGAAGTATGAAAATAGATTAAAATGGGTTGCTCATCAAGTAACAATGTGCTTATGGACTTGTTATGTGTTATATATGTTATGGACCTTGGCACTCAATGTCTTAGTAGAAAGTTATCTGGAGAACATAAGTACACTAGCATATTCTCCTGTCTCCCACTTTACAAAAAAAGCTACTTGCTATACTATTTCTACTCTATTCAGAAAATTATCTGTCCTGTTGCTACTCCCTCATGATTCAGCTTCTCATGTTTAACAGGATTTATAGCACAGGCAGGAAAAAGTTCAAATTTTCATGATTGTTATCATCACTTGAAGAAAGCATGTTTTTTGAAAATCAGTAATTTCTTTTGGAAAGAGCCATTGTTTAAATATAAAACTGAGTCCCACCTTTCTTTTCTCCCTCAATCCCTGCCAGCAGGGCATAGAATATGTGATAATTTCTCTCTCCTGGATTTTGCCTTACTACTCGATTCTATGAGACAAAATATTTAGAAATATATTCAGCAAAATCCTTTACATTTTTAAATAATTCAAAATATTAGAAAAACAAAAACTAAAAAATTACCTTTTCTAATAAATCTTTATGAGGCATCAAGTGAATAGGTCAAGGAACAAAATGGTTCAGTTGAACTTGTAATGTATATATTATTTTTGTTAGAATGTTTAGTCAGAAGAATGTTCAATTGTATTAGTTTCCTTTAATTTTAAAAGTTCATTTATTGTATATAAATATTAATTACTATCATTTTATTGGCAGCTGAGCTCCATGTCTGGTGATGAAATATATTTGTAAAAGAATTAAGTAAATTACACAAGAAACAGATCCCGATATAATATGTAAAACTCTCTTTTTCTTTCTCTCACATGTATCTTTTTTTGCTATGAAGAATTAGTAGAATACTATCAATCTTTCTGGCAATATTTAAAAAACCCAGGAAAATATATCCACTTTAAAAGGATTAGTTACTTTTATACTAAGGAGTACTACTAGAAAATAATATGTTCCTAATAGAATATTTTCCTGCTGAGCCAGGCAGCAGGACCAACACAGACTGAAAAGGGGAAACATATCTAGGATTAATTAGAGCAAACCTGGCTCAGATTAATCACTCATTAGCTGACACACTGCACAATAGAATTGAGTGGATTATCTTCTTGATTTATAAAGCTGAATATAGAGCTGTATTTTAGCTTTTCCTAGGCAAAAGTTGCTACCTAATATTAAGTTTGAACAGTTTTACTTTGAAGATTAACAGAAATGAGTGATAAAAAAGATAAAAATGTACATTTTCTAATATTTTGTCAAGACAGCTTCCTACATTAAACCATGAGAGAAAGAGAAGAGGATTTTCAGAGGTTCTAATATTCTAATGAACAATTTTGGAGTAAAGTAAAACATACAAGTTGTCTAACATATCTGTAGACACACACACACAGAGAGAGAGAGGGAGAGAGAGAGAGAGAGAGAGAGAGAGAGAGAGAGAGAGAGAGAGAGAGAGAGCGCTCGTACAACAATTACAAGGTACAGAAAATACAGGATACAGTCTACAATTTTTCCTCCCTGAATATTGCCTTCCTGACAGAAGTTCAGCTGAACAAATTTCCCAAAGCGACTAGAGTTGTTGTTGTAAACAGTCTTTGCATTGCCAAATGCTTCCATAATTGGGCTGCAGTAAAAAAAAAGACAAAGTTACTAAGTGTTTATTAGTCCCATAAAAATTATAATAAATCTTATTGATGGAAATATTGTAACACTAATGTTTTTAAAAGGTCTATTCACAGTATAAAATGCATCAAGTCATCTCAAACAAGTCATGAACATCTAGTACATTTTTAAATATTCCTTGAAAGAATAATATACCAGAAGAGGGAGGGAGAAGCAGGGGGGAACTTGTTGGGGTGTCAGTGTACAAAATAGTCCAGACAAGAAGTCTCTCTGTGAAATGGACATTCTCTAAATTTGATTTATAAATAAATAAACAAATATAGGCAAGAAGCTCATCCAGAAGGACTAGTTCTACTTTACTGTATGGTTACACTGACAGAATCTTGCAAGTCTGAAAGTGTCTTTGCATTGCCTTTCTGACCTTTGCTTGGAATGACCCACTTTAATTCAGATAATTATGTTCTATTAACAACTCCCAAAACCAGAAAAAAAAAATTACCCATAACAATAAGGAAGCTTCAATCCAAAAAGAGATCACTTTGGCGGAAAAACAAATCAGGTCACATTGCCAACTTCAAAAGCCGATACAAAAATTTATGCCACCAGATAAGGACCGAATGCACCAATTATCACATTAAACAAGAGGAAAACCTTCTACCCACCAATTCCACCCGTGCTTTCTACAATTTTGTAAACAACAAACTAAAAGACTCAAGGTCCATCCCAACCCTGAAAAGACCTAATGGTAAAGACTACAATGATGACACCATTAAAGCCAACCTCTTTAACACATTCTTTGGCTCAGTATTTGTAAACAGCAATGGATTTCCTAGTATTTCCTAGTCGAGCCACAAACAACCACAATGATCTAATACATATCGATTTTACAGAAGACAATGTTGAAAATACACTACACAATCTAAAACCATCTCTATCTATTGGATCGGACGGAATATGTGCCTACTTCTTAAAAAAGCTATCCACTGCCATAGCCGAACCTCTAAGCATAATCTTTGAAAAATCTTTCAGGACCAGCTCCTTGCCAAAACTATGGTCACAAGTCACGGTCATCCCCATCTTCAAAAAGGGAGACCCCCAGCCTAGTTGAAAATTACAGACCAAGCTCTTTATGCTGCATCACCTATAAAGTCATGGAATCAATTATTAACCAATCCATCGTCTTCCACTTAGAGACAAACAACCTACTCTCTAATAAACAATTTGGTTTCAGAAAAAAACTATCCTGCAATCTGAAACTCTTACACTGCAAAAACTTATGGACTATACAACTCAATTAGGGCAAAGCAATAGATGCATAGTCTACATAGACTTCTGTAAAGCCTTTGATTCAGTAGTACACGACAAACTGCTCCTAAAACTAAAATCTTATGGTATCTCTGGACACCTGCATAACTGGATAGAAGCATTCCTGTCAAACAGACAACAAATGGTCAAAACTGGGAGCATCCTATCCAATTCTGTACCTATCAACAGTGGTGTCTCCCAAGGCAGTGTTCTAGGACCAACTCTCTTCATACTCTACATAAATGACCTCTGTGATCATATTCAGAGCAACTGCCTCCTCTTTGCTGAGGATGTAAAGCTATTCAACACCACAGACAATACTGCTACCCTTCACAAAGACCTTGACTATGTATCAGAATGGTCAAACAAATGGCAACTTCAAATCTCAACAAACAAATGCTCTGTCTTACATATTGGCAAAAAAAATCAGAAAATAAAATACAGGCTGAATAGTCAAGACCTTGTTGATGATCCAAACTCTGTCAAGGACTTTGGAGTACTCATCTCTAATGATCTAAGTGCTAGAGCCCACTGTAACTACATAGCCAAAAAGGCATTAAGAGTTGTTAACCTAATCTTACGAAGCTTTTTCTCTGGTAATATTACACTACTAACTAGAGCATACAAAACATTTGCTAGACCAATACTCAAATACAGCTCATCAGTCTGGAACCCACATTATGTATCTGATATTAACACAGTTGAGAAAGTCCAGAAATATTTTACAAGAAGAGTTCTCCACTGCTCTACTCGTTGCAGAATACCTTATGCCACTAGACTTGAAATTCTAGACCCAGAAAACCTAGAACTACGCTGTGTTTGGTCTGATATTAGTATATAAAATCATACATTGCAATGTCCTACCTGTCAATGAATACTTCAGCTTCAATCATAACAATACAAGAGCAAACAATAGATACAAACTCAAGGTTAATCGCACCAAGCTTGATTGCAGGAAATACGGCTTCAGCAACAGAGTGGTCAATGTCTGGAATACTCTTCCTGATTCTGTGGTTTTTTTCCCCAAACCCCAAAAACTTTAACCTTAGACTTTCTACTATTGACCTCACCCCTTTCCTAAGAGATATGTAGGGGGCATGCATAAGCGCACCAATGTGCCTACCGTCCGTGTCCTATTCTTTCTTTTATTTTTCTTATATGTATCTATAACTATGTTTTTACTTATACCTATTATCTTGTAAGCAATTGACAAACCAAATAAAATAAAAAAATAAAAAATTCAACAATAGATTGACAACTGGGAATTAATAGGGCAAGCCAATTCAAGCTTGAGTGGAAAGGGTATCTTTTCTTGCCTTGCTAAATTGCATGAAACATAGTTTGATCAATGATAGCTGGCTGCTGCCATGAAATCACCTTACTGAATACTTTATGATATACCACATCAATCTTTGAAAGATTTATTTTCAAGGAAACAGAAAAATACATAAAGTATTATGTCAACATGTAGCTTTTACCTAAGTTAAAAATACTTGTACTGAGAAAATAAACTTTAAAGAGCACACACAAATTCTAATTTAATAAATTATCAACAACTCTTTTGTTGTTGTTGTGAAGTTGTGTCCGACCCATCGTGACACCATGGATAATGTTCCTCCAGGCCTTCCTGTCCTTTACCATCCTTCGGAGTCCATTTAAGCTCATGCCTACTGCTTCAGTGACTCCATCCAACCACCTCCTTCTCTATCATCCCCTTCTTCTTTTACCCTCAATCTTCCCCAGCATTAGGCTCTTCTCCACTGAGTCCTTCCTTCTCATTAGGTGGCCAAAGTATTTGAGTTTCATCTTCAGGTTCTGGCCTTCTAAAAAGCAGTCAGGGTTGATCTCCTCAAGGATTGACCAGTTTGATTGCCTTGCAGACCAAGGAATGTGCAGGACTCTTCTCCAGCACCATCATTCAAAGACCTCAATTCTTTGGCGCTCAGCCTTTCTTATGGTCCAACTTTCACAGCCATACATTGCAAATGGGAAAACAATAGCCTTGACTATGCGCACTTTTGTAGCAGGGTGTTGTCTCTGCTTTTTAGTATGCTGTCTAGATTTGTCATAGCTTTCCTCCCAAGTAGCAAGAATCTTTTAATTTCTTGGCTGCAGTCCCCATCTGCAATGATCTTGAAGCCCAGGAAAATAAAATCTATCACTACCGCCATTTCTTCCCCATCTATTTGCTAGGAATTGAGAAGGCCAGTTGCCATGATCTTAGTTTTCTTAATGTTGAGTTTCAAGCCAACTTTTGCACTCTCCTTCTTCCATCAAGAGGCTCTTTAATTCCTCTTCACTTTCTGCCATTAGAGTGGCATCATCTGCATATCTGAGGTATTAATATTTCTCTCGGCAATCTTAATTCCAACTTTTGATTCATCTAGCCTTGCCTTTCTCATGATGTGCTCTGCATATAAGTTAAATAGGCAGGGTGACAGTATACAGCCTTGCCTGATTCCTTCCCCAATTTTGAATCAATCAGTGGTTCCGGGTCTGATACTTCCATCTCTTTAAGAACTTGTCACAATTTGGTGTGATCCACACAATCAAAGGCTTTAGCATAGTCAATGAAGCAGAAGTAGATGTTCTTCTGGAATTCCCTAGCTTTCTCTATGATCCAGCCTATCAACAACTCTACCAACTATATATAAAAATCTAAGAGAGGCTCAGTTAATGTCCTTGTTTGCCCACTGCTTAGGAAATCCCCTTATAGTAGGGGTGTCAAACTAGTGTTGTCATGGTGGTATCACATGATGTATCACAACTTCCCCCCCCCTTTGTTAAACTGGGTGTGGGCATGGCCAGCGTGTGACGCGTCCGGCCCACAGGCCACAAGTTTGACAGCCCTGCCTTATAGGATATTATATGGAGTTAGATGATATAAGTTTAACTACTCATCCCTGATACTACTAAGAGTTTTGTATTCTATCAGCAAGCAGGCAAGCTTATTGTGAAATAACTTCCTTCCATAAGTCTTGTTTGTTGTTTTCCTTATGAAAATGCCACAGCACATATATACCTGCTCTCCAAAATTGCTTGTTCAACACTAGCTATTTTCTCCATACAAGAGAGTTCCAGAGAATGTTGGCTTACGGCAGACAAAAACTTGAGAATCAACTTAGTGCTCTCTGTTTTACCGGCACCACTTTCACCACTGGAAGACAAAAAAGAAAACAAGCTACAGTTAGTCAGACCAAATACCTTGTGAAAAGATGGACATTTGATGGATGTAGATGAGTATTTTCGTACGGAAAAGGCTTTCGACCTGGGAGCAGTGAACATCTGTGCCATTTCTACAAGCTTTTATATAGTTTTTACACTGTTTATGCTAAGAAAATGTGTTTACAGTAAGTCAAGGACAATCTGCATTGTAAGTTCACATCTGGTTTTAACAACTGCCCTTATCCTAAACAATGGTCCTTAAACCAGAGGTCTCCAAACTTGGCAACTTTAAGACTTATGCACTTCAACTCCCAGAATTTTCCAGCCAGCATAGCATAGAAGTCCACAAGTCTTAAAGTTGCCAAGTTTGGGGACCCCTGTCCTGAACTATCAATGAGAGATGCATGGCACCACAAAAGGAAACAAGGAAAACAATGTACACCAGCAAATATTCCTAAGATAAGCAACCAGATCATGCACCCTACTGGTACTACTGCTGGCTGCAGATGCAAGGGAGCAATGGTATATCACATCCTAATGCTGATATGTTGTTCTCGTCACCCTTTGGCTAAGTTATTATATACCGTGTTTCTCCAACAATACGGCCTCCACCAATGGGAAGGCCCAGTATGATTTCTAGGCATGAGATGAAATTAAGTCCCGCCCCCAAAATTTAGGCCTATTTAAACCATGCATTTCCCTGCCATTTCTCACATCATTCATTAGAACTACACAAGGTGAAGAGAAATGGGGGGGAAGGGCGGGAGGGGAAGAAAACTTGCCTTTAGCAGTGCCCTGCAGGTAGCCTAGGCTAAATACCCCGATAACTGATAGAAGCTCCCTGAAGGCAGAGTCCCCAGCTGCTTCAGGGCGAGGCGAGGCTGCCCGTGTCCCCTCACCTTTAGGCAGTCCATTTGGGTGATGAAAGCTCCCCAAGTGCAGTCACCAGCCACTTCAATTGGCCGGTAGAAGCGGCCTTGGAGCGAGGGGAGTGTGTGTATGTGCGCTCACCCCGAGGCCGCTTCTACCGGCCGATCGAAGTGGCTGGTGACTGCACTTGGGGAGTTTCCATCGCCCGAAAGACACTGCCTAAAGGCGAGGGGACATGGGCAGCCTCGCCTTGCCCTGAAGCAGCTGGGAACTTTGCCTTTAGGGAGCTTTTGTCGGCTGATAGAAGCGACCTCGCTGCGAGGGGAGTGTGTGTGTGTGCACTCATCCCGAGGCCGCTTCTACCGGCTGATCAAAGTGGCTGGTGACTGCACTTGGGGAGCTTCCATCGCCTGAAAGAGACTACCTAATGGTGAGGGGACACAGGCAGCCACACCACGCCCCGAAGCAGCTGGGGACTCTGCCTTCGGGGAGCTTTCATTGGCCAATAGAAGCGGCCTCACGGTGAGGTACGTGCATATGGGCCGCTCTAGGTGGGGGAGGAAATTAAGTCACCCCCGAAAAGACAGCCTAGCCGTTTTTTCAGGGGTCAAAAAAAAAAATAAGGCCCGGCCTTACTTTGTGAGAAACACGGCATTGTTGTACTCACCATGGGAACCTTTAACTCCAATATTTTGAAAACCTGATTTCTAAATAGCAACGTGCTTCACAACCAACAGAAAAAAGCAGTGTGTTTCAAATAAACTTCACACATAAATCCTTGGGCTTGACTTTTCTGTAAGGTTCTAATAATCAGCGAAGTCATCATATTAACATTTTTATTTTGATATGGCATACTAAATCTTCCCATGAACAGTTGATTCTTGTCCGAAATGAAGTTTTCCTTATGCTTTTGTTGGAAAACAGGAGTGTTAGAAAGTTTTCAAAGCATAGCTAGAGGCAAAAAAATCAAATAACAGAAATATGCTATACTTTGGGTATGATCACTTCACCGGTAAGTTATTTCTTCCTGCTACAACATTCCCCTAAATCTTAGCTGTTTCGGAATTTTAAAAAAATCTGAATTATTTTACTTATATCACCTGCCTTGTTCGTTAACAGCAATCATTATGAGCAACTGCAAGGGGCACTGACTATGTACAAGGATAAGGCAAAACCTGTATCAAATATGGCACCAGGCTAATAGGAATATCAGTTACCGACACCGTCACACATATATACAAACACTCCTTGCATTTTATCCCTTCCAGAATGTCACCTTCTCTCCTTCCTCCCAATGAGTTAAGTGAAGCATGAAGCATATCAAATATCAATCACCTTTATGTTGTAAATATATCAGTTGTGTATGAGGAGAGAGGGTGATGTAAAGGCAATGGTAGTGGCCTAAATCCTGAGGAAACCTAGTTTTATATGTCTTTTATATGTGTTTTTGAAAGTCAATGAAAATAACACCTTTTGCTGAAGTTATTAAAGAGTGCAGAGAAACTTTCCCATTTACACCATATGTTCTGATGAAAAATCCCAAAGAAGGAAATAGCTATTACATTTTTATGGCATTTCAGTTGGTCCTCATAAAGATATTGCCCAACTGTATATATTGTTTCAGTAACACAATAGATACCACACAGCAATAAATCCTAGGACTACACTCCTCATACTTTAGTTGAATAAAATTCAATTAAAAACAATCCAATAACTCATTATAATTATATAGTCATTAGAGCATGGTCTAATTTCAGTATGATCTGCAATAAAATGATAAATTACAAGCAGGTCCACTAGAGGGGGTTTGCTGTCTTTAATGAGCAATGCACCAAATACATAGCTATGATTTCTATAACCCACACAAACAAAATAATTATACTAACATACTGTATAACTATAATCAACCAACCAACCAAATAATTTATTGTAACTGCAACTCTGGAGAACAAGTATAGTACAACAACCAATAATATCATGGTATAGAATAAATGATATTAAACAGAAACTCCTCATTTGTAGCTATAAAATAGCCAGTGTGCTATGCAACTCTGATCAGGATCAGATATTGTATTTCTGTTTGGAAACAAGTCCTGCAAAATTTGAACATCAACATTTTCAAATCACTGTTTTATTATCTCTTTCATTTTTAAATAGCCTAGAAAAGTCATAGCCCCTAGAACAAATTTCTGCCCAAAAGCCTTTTATCCACTAATTTGCAAGCCATACGAAGCTTTTTTTTGTTCCTAAGCTTTCAAAATCTTTTGTAAAATGGGTTCAAAACATTGTAGACAATTGAGGTAGTGATTCTTTCTAGCTATAGCAGCAATTGGCTCAGTCAGAAATGGAGTCAATCAATAACACTGGCAATACCAGTTCAGATGTGTGACAGCTAAGAATGCAGTACATACTCAATCACCTTTATTGTTTGCCCTGAACCTAAAGAAAACAATCATGATATACAGTCCCTACTGAATGTGGAATAAAAAAAATCACTAATAAGACAACATGGTAGGTTTTATTAGCTGGTGCCAAAAATTGGGCTACTGTTGAAAAGATTTTCTGCTCTCCCTGGAAAGATGCATTTGACAGTTTCAACACACCCAACTTTCTCTGGCAACAATATCAGTCTTCTGCTTTTGCCTATACTCTGCAGCAACCTGCCTACATTTAAATCAGTCATTAAAAAATAAAAACCATAACAATTAGCATTTAATCTCTAACTATCATCAACAGATAGGTGCCTTTTCATCCCAATTCACAGCAGTTTTTGAAAAATCAATCTTTATAAAGAACAGGCCGAGCTGCTAATAATGATGAGAGGTACAGTTGAATATATATGATAGGGATGGTAAAATTAAGATAAAAAAACTAGAAAGTTTCTAGTAATAGCTCAAGTTGCTTTAAAAGCTTTTACAGTTTGGGACTACATTATCTAAAGGGAACAAGTCTTCTTAGGGTTTTGTACCTGTACCTGTATTTGGATAGTAAGATGAATGATATTTAAATGTGATAGACAGAAGACAGGTGATATCACTTTGGGTTATCTTGCTCAGTGTCTACTCAGGAGGTGGCCTTTCTCATGAAAATCTCCCAGCTTTAGAATTGCCTCCCCACCCCACCCCCTCAGGGCAACTGAATTGCCTTTTCAGAACCAGTTGAGATTCTTTTCATCCCCACAGGCATTTGAATATGCTTATTATAAGCTGCCCTGGAAAAACAGTAAAAAGTAGTATAGTATTTTAAACGTACAAACACTTAAACATATCCAATTTAACTCATTTGAAACATTAATACGAATAATGATACAAATGAGATCCTGGAGCTATCATTGCCTCCCAAGTAATCCTATCAAAGAAGATACGGTATGTTAAGACTTTGAGGCAAGGACTCTACAGAAGAAGGATTTCAAAAACCACGATGGGTACAACCACACTATCAAAGCCCCAATCTTTTATATATAGGTTCATGTGGCATTCACATACAGAGAAAGGGCATTGGTCCTTACCTGACATGCCTGTTCTCCTTGAGCTGCAAAGAGAATCCAGTAGTGGGAGGTGCTTCAGTCTCTGCTTATCCAGGCTGGGCTTAATTTGAGGAACACTCCTCCTCCTCCATGGGACTCCTCCCCAGAGTTTCCCAGTTTTGGCGAAGATGAGAGAAACAAACACCCTCACCCTTAATACTGTACCCTTAATACTGTAAAAATTCAGTGGCCGAAACAGGATCCCACCAGACGGAAGAGGGTGGGGCTGGATGCTCTTTGAAGCTCAAGGAGAACGGGCGTGTCAGGTAAGTACCAACGCCCTTTCTCCCACGAGCTGCTCAGAGCATCCAGTAGTGGGACATACCAAAGCTTGGCCTGTCCTACGGGAGGGACTCCGTCTGGCCTGGAATCCCCTCCTGGTCCCTGTGGACCCATTGCAGAACTCTCCTGCCAAAGGAGGCTTCAGCAGATAAAAACACATCTATTTTGTAATGCCTAATGAATGGCAATGGAGAGGCCCAGGTTGCGGCATGACAGATGCCAGTGATTGGTGCCTGCGTGGCCCATGCTGCCGATGTTGCGGCGCTCCTTGTTGAATGAGCTGTTATGCCCCTGGGCACCTGAAGTCTGATACG